GGAGCGCTTGTTGCTTTGCTTCTCCTTTGAATTTTGTCAGTTACTAAAAAAGGAAATTTTTAAGCGATACAAAATTTCTGGGATATTATTTAAATTTATTTTTTATTTTTAAAAATATAAATTATAGTAATTTAAATTAAACAATTAATTGAAAATATAATGGCTTAAAAAATTAATACATATAAATATAAATTTAAAAAAATCAAATTAAATAATTTTTAGTTATAAAAATTGAAAATTTAAATTTAAAATAAAATAATTTAATAAAAATTATATTTATATAAATTGAATCAATTTCAATTTAATTTATAAAAAATTAAAATTAACAGTTTTCAAATTGAATTAATTTAAAAAAAAATAAATTGGTTTGGTTTGGTTTTAATTAAAACCAACTTAAACCAAACTGTTATGATTCTTATTTATTAATAAAAATATATATTTGAATATTAATTTTATATTTAATTATTTTATAATAATTATTTTAACAATAAATATAATATAAAAAAAATTTTTTTTGTTGTTTTTATAAATATATTTTAAGTATTTTAATAATATTTTAACAATATTTTAATTATACTTTAATTATATATTTGTGATTATATTAAGATATATAATATAGTGTTACAAAAAAAATAATAAGTAAATAATAGAAAATTATAAAAGTAATATAGTAAGTATATCAGATATAAATAGTATATTAGATATAAAGAATATATTAAATATAAGTAATATATCAGATATAATAGATACAATAGATATAAAATAAAAATATCTATTAGTAACTTGAAAATAATTAAAAAGTAAAAATAATTAGAATAGATATTACATATCTATTAAATAAAAATTATTTTTATTTGATAAATTATTGTCTTATAACTTGACTTTAATATTATATGGCTAATAGAATTATAAAGTAATTATTTAAAATACAAGATTAATAAATTGATTTGTATTAATATTACAAATTTTGATCAAATTTATATGTTTTTTTTAAGTAAAAACTACTTTGATTATTATATAATATAAAATAGATTAAAATATTTAACTTGCTATAATTTTATTATAACAATATATTAAATACTAGTTATATTAATATATAATTTATTACTTTTTCAACTACACTTTAAAATATTTTAATTATATTTTAATAATATAAATCTATGAATATTAATTTATTTATTTTATATAAAAATAATATAATTAATTAAATATATGTTTGAACTTATATATTTTGAATTTTTTTATCTTGAATTAAAAAATTTTAAATAATAAATATTATACAAATAGGTTATATAAAATTAAGCCAATAGTAATAAATTTTATATTGCTTTTGTAATGACAATTAATATTTTTATTAAAAATATATCTGTATTATTGCTATCATAATATTTTTTTATTAAAAAAATATAAGAAAAATCAGACAATTTTATTATTTTTTTTTATATAGATATTTTTTAATATAAATAAATAAAATAGAAAAAATAAATTAAAAATATATATATAATTTTATTGATTCTTTGAAAATTAATTATTTTAATATTTTTATAATTCTATAATAATAATTAAAAAAACTAAATATAAAACAATATAAAATTATGGATATTTGAAAACTTACAATATATTAAAATAATATCAAATATCTTTTGAGATTGGTTATTATATATTATATATTATATATTATAAATATAATAAAGGATTAAAAACTCAAAATATTTCAAGTTTTAAATATTCTAGAGAGATATATTTTAAACCATTATATTCTTATAGTTTTGTTTTTTTTATTGACTTGTTTATATTATTTATATAATATATATTATGTCATTTACCTTATTATTAATACTATTATAATTATATATTAATAAAAAACAATTGTTTTGTTTAATTTATTATTTAAATTTTTTTTAAAAAATTATATTTTACATTAAATACATTAATAAAATACAAAATTAATTTTATAAAAAACAAATATTATATATTAAAGAAAGAAGTATATCTGCTATAAAAATTATAAAAATTCTTAAAATATTCAATACTTGTATTAAAAATTATCTTAAATAATTATAATTAACAAATAATTTTAATTATATACTTAAAACAAAAAAATAATAGCAAAAAACTTATTATTACTAAATACTTTAAACAGTTAATTTAATAAAAAATTAAAACAGATTTAACAATAAAAAAAATTTTCAAATGTATATTTCCTATTTAATTTTGACTATATTAATTTTAACTAAATAGCAAAAATTATTTTTTAGTAAAAAAAATCAAATCAAATAATTGAATTTAATAAAAACTTATCAGTTTTAGAAAAAAAAAATTGACAATATGTTATTTAAATCAATAAATCTTTTATTAGCATAGATCCTTATAAAAAAATTCATATTTTATATTATAAGGATGAACTTTATAACTTAGCTTATACACAGGTAATAGTTAAAAGTAGATGAAAGATAGTTATAATCTGAAATTATATAAATAAATATAATTGTACTATTTGATTTATATTTTACCTTATATCAATAAAGCTGAATATGAAATTAATCACAGAAAAGAAATGATAAAAAAAACGATATACCTATTCACAAATATAAACTTGTAAATAGAATAAAGATTAAACTTGAAATCAAGATCATGAAATAATTATTAGAATTATCAGATCTTATCCAATTGAAAATGTATGGAGAGAGATTAAGGTTTGAATTAATAAGAACCAAAAATCATGTAACACATTTAATTTATAAGAAGCTGTTACTGCGGCATAACATAATTTTGCATTCTATAAAATTCTTCATTTTATAAAAAAAATTAATATGCAATTTTCACCAAGAATCATAAACACTCCGAAGCTAATAAACTTTTTATTAATTATTGTTAATTAATTTTTAAAAAAATAATCATATGTTACACGTGCGGACGGACAGAATCCAAGAATCAAATGTCCTTTGTTTTGCTTTGGACAAAAAATTTGCTAGTTCAAAACGATGACATAATTTTAATCACGCGTACTGTTTTCAGATTATAACGCGTTCCTTCTATATTTAGATCTTATGCACGATCTATGTAATCAATAAATATCATGGGAATTTTTTTTCATTATATATAAACACACTGGTTTGTAAAAAATTTTTCCACTTTTTCTTAAATACTTCACAACCTTTTTTAAATACTTCAAAAACTTCATTATCTTTCGTAACCTTTCTTAAAAACTTCACCACCTTTCTTAAAAACTTCACAACCTTCCTTAAATACCTCGCAACTTTTCTTTAATACTTTACAACCTTAACTTTCTAATAACACGTGATGGGTATATGGGGTCTTTATATCTTTAATAACACAACATGTAACAAGTTAACGAAATCTACAAGAGCACGAGAGAAACAAGCAAGTGTAAGTTTAATGATTTGTTTTTCAAGTTAATAGGTAATAGAAGGCAGGTCGAAGCAAGATTTTGACTAGCTATTTTTGTTTCCGAACTGGGAATCTGAGACTCCCATTTCCGTGTCGTGTAACTGTATTCGAGGGAACAACGGTAGTAAGCTATCTTTTTATCACCCACGGTATGCGTGTAGGACACTGTAGAACGTTGTATCTCTAGTATCCTTCGCCATTCTTATTATGCATAGATTACAGATTACCGAGAATAGGTTGAGCTAAATTGGATAGACCGAGATAGTATACTATTCAAAGTTCTATGTGTTTAAGCTATGGCGAAGGGGGGATCTCTGATTGACGCGGTGATATCCTACTATACGTATTACAATGGCTGTAAGTTGTATCAGCAGAATCTGGGGTCCCTGTTGCGATCTCATGAGAGGCTTCATACGAGGCTTTAGGTTTTGGGTTGAGCCGGTTCCTATTTGACTTGAGAAACTAAATTACGGATTTTTTTTGTCTTAAGCTTGCTCAATAATGCATGTTATTAACTTTTTCTAAATTTTTTGTCTTAGGTTTTGATCGCAAGAAAGTAATGCGATTAGCTTTTTTTAATTATTTATTGTTAATATAAAAAGCTTAGAGATTAATCGATGTATTTAATAAATTATAATTTAATATGGTGAAAAATAAATAAAATTTCCGATATAATATAAAGTATAAATGCAAATGTAGATTACACGAAACTTCGAAGATTTATTCTCGATTTATTTCTTAAGTTCTGTGCCTTTCTCTAAAATTTCTTAGATGAGAGAAAGCTTCCGTACACAGTAATCAAAGCTTCGTTTACTCTTGTTTTGTAGATTCGCTATCAATTTGCGTACACCTCTTGGTTAAATTGTAAGTCCGAAGCTAATAAGTTTATTTAAAAAAAATAATGGACAGAATCCACACGTGATCTATATTTTTACCAAGGATCGAATGTCCTTCGCTCTGCTTCGGACAATAAAAATCGACCTAATTTTGTACGACATTCCTATTGCTGGAAAATTAATAGATGTGACATAAATTACCTACTGATTATCAATGACACTTGTCGTATATACTATTCTCTCTTGACAAGATATTTTCGATATGTCAAGTGAAGATTACTCAAAGTTAAAATATCCAGGTGAGTCTACTTTGTACATATTATTATTTTTATTAGTCAAATGATGAAAGAATACAACTTGGCAGTTCAGATTATTGGAACCGAGACTTTAACGCCTGGGGAAACTTAAACGATTGGGACATCTACTGGATCGAAAAGCAAACACAGCCAACGTTAATTACCAAGCACAATTCCCACGTAGCCTTAGGTGACGAACTGAGATGCCTGAAGAAAATATATACAAGTACACATCCTGCTTATAATAAAATCCGTAATTTGAAAAAAGGATTGAAGGGAAGTATAAATGAGTTTATTCTTCAGGAGGATAACAGTGTACTCTATGGCTAATCCAGCAGACGAGTTTTGAGATGGTTTTGACGAGTTTAAAACCGATGGGTAGTGCCGAGTGTACGTGGCTATGGAAACACTGTGCTGAGACGCGTTTTCAGACAGGGAATGTTCACTTAAGTTAAACTTGGGGGCCGAGTGTCTAGCTGAGGGAGGGACGAGTTTCCGTGGCTTATTGTGGACTTCCTTCCTCCTGTTTTTATCTTGAGATGATTATATCGTTACAATTAATCATATCGTTATAATTAATCATATTATTATTTTTATATTTAGGAAAATTCTAAGAATGAACAAAACAAAAAAATTTGGGAGGAATGTGATAAATATAGGTCATTAAGACTCGAGTCTCAATTGGTTGACATGGAATTAGCCGTTGATAAGGCAAGTGCTTTATGAGCCTTTGATATTTCTTAACGGCCTATTCTTACTCATTCCTTTATTGTAGAAGAAGGGCATTCGAGATGGCCTGAAGATAGCTCGGAAAGGGTTCCAAATATATTCTAAGATGGATTTTGAGTCAGTAGAAAGAGAACGGAAAAGGCTTAAGAAGCATGCTGGAAACGTCCTTCCTGATGGCTTATCGCTACCACCACCACCATCACCACCAGATTTCACTTCTTTGAGTAACGAAGAGAGTGATTCTCCGACAATGCTGCCTAACGTAGCTATATGTGATAGTGATGACGATGACAACGAAGAAATTCCTTCTTTGGACAGTGTTATCAATTCTGTGCCAGCTAACATACAAAATTGGAGTTTGCCCTCAGGA